GATGTTCCTACCCTCTTATTTCTCCTTAATTTTTCTCGCTTGCTTATTATTTTGCCAGGAGGGGCGGCAATGCCGTGCAGCATGTAGATTGGGACGAGTAAATATGGCGATGGCAGACGAAGCAGATATGGAATTTGTTTCGAATGTTAAAGAACTATTTATGAAACAAAATAAGAAGTTATGAATATTCTGATCTTTTAAACATAATTATAGTACATGAGTAAGTACAATACCATTTCTAACTTTCTATTTAAAAACACTACACCTGTCCTATTGCCCGTGGTCAGTCTTTGCCATTATTTCGTGTAAGCTTGCATATGAGTTGTTGAATGGTTTAGTTGAATGTTGAATGGTTTAGTTGAATGTTGAATGGTTTAGTTGAATGTTGAATGGTTTAGTTGAATGTTGAATGGTTTAGTTGAATGTTGAATGACTTAGTTGAATGTTCAATGGTTTAGTTGAATGTTGAATGGTTTAGTTGAATGTTGAATGACTTAGTTGAATGGTTTAGTTGAATGTTGAATGACTTAGTTGAATGTTGAATGATTTAGTTGAATGTTGAATGGTTTAGTTGAATGTTGAATGGTTTAGTTGAATGTTGAATGACTTAGTTGAATTTTGAATGGTTTAGTTGAATGTTGAATGGTTTAGTTGAATGTTGAATGGTTTAATTGAATGTTGAATGACTTAGTTGAATGTTGAATGACTTAGTTGAATGTTGAATGGTTTAGTTGAATGTTGAATGGTTTAGTTGAATGTTGAATGGTTTTGTTGAATGTTGAATGTTGAATGGTTTAGTTGAATGTTGAATGGTTTAGTTGAATGTTGAATGGTTTAGTTGAATGTTGAATGGTTTAATTGAATGTTGAATGACTTAGTTGAATGTTGAATGGTTTAGTTGAATGTTGAATGGTTTAGTTGAATGTTGAATGGTTAGTTGAATGTTGAATAATTATGTTGAATTGTTGTCGTTGAACATTGAATTTTTGTTGAATTAAACAAAATATTAGTTTATTGAATATTGCTACACTTGGCGTGCCATAGTATGGCCAATTGAAAGTAAATTGTAGGGTGATCAATTGTAGCTTCGGCAAAAAATGATTAAAATCAAGAAGAACAAATTTTGTGGGTTTGGATGGGGGCATGATTTTAATTTATTTCCAGATGGGGGGCACTGCCCCCCCCCCCCCCATAGGCTCTCCTCAGCTATGGGCTTGATACTAAGCCAATGTCAGGTAGTGGTAGCGGTAGTAGAAGTTAAATTTGAAACACTCTATTGCCTCTTTCAAGAGGGTTCTTCATACATTTGAAGTCAGGATCCCGTGGCACAAAGTGGGGCCTTTCAGCAACTATGGACGGCAAAGCGATAACGCCGGCCAACAGTAACGCCTTCAAATAAATAACTTTAATGAGAACGTGTGGTGTATTATATAATGTATAAATTAAGATATAAAGGTTTATAGTTGATAAGACGTCTACTAAGCCAATTCGCTGAGCATCACTTCGCACGCCTTGAAACGCTGCATAATAGCATGCTTCAATAATTTTCTTTCGACACGCAGCAACGTACGTACAAATTCTACTTGCCAAAAACATATTGGACTGAAATAAATCTATAAGAATCATCTTTAAACTGCTGTTTAACGTATTTTTTAAGGTTTTCGAAAATTTATGTTTGAGAATAAGTCCTTGTTTCCTGTAGTTATATATTTGAACGTATATTTTTTTCGAAATATTGCTGAATATATGCCGAGCTTTTGAAACTAAACATTTAGCAGTGATTTTTCGACACATATGTCAAAGAAATTTTTGTTCTTTTCGCATTTAGGTCAGAAAAAGGAACATTTTGGGATGGATACTAAATCCACTCAAGTTAATTCAGCTAATTTTTCTCTCTTTAGCATCGGTAGGGTTTTTGCAACTTGTTGGATAATTTTTAAGTCTGTTCGTTCACTGCAACCAGGTATATCAATCATGTTCGCATATAAATATGAGTAATCATGATGCTTTGAATAGGGATGACGGTGCCTATTTGCCAGAGGAATACATGCATCTCATTGGCAGGTGACGTCATCCCTGGGGTATTTAAGAAGCCACGATTGTAACTTTAGATCACCCCTGATGAACACAATAGACTGGAGTGTCGAAAAGTTGGGTCTTGATTACAATTCGACTGGGCTTTGTAATCATTTATTTAGACCAGAGAGGCGAGCGAAACATGATTGTTGGATAATTGCTCGAGTTAGAAAATTGTTTCACTTCCCGGTTTGTTTTGGCACGAAACTCAAGAAGTCCGTAACATGTGTAAAAGGTTACCATATCTTGTGATACGGACCTCTTGTTAACCAATCAGAAGGCCCCATTTACGCTATACGAACCTGGTTTACGGACCGGAGATGTAAAACAAAGAATTTATACCATTTTGGTCGTTCCTTGCCAAGAAGTATTCTCAGAAGAATCCTTCCGCCTTTCAGTTATGGTTATATTTTCAGTTAAGAACTCCAAGCCGATAAGTAACAAATATATCATATATGAATTTTTGGTTGATGCTCGTTGCATGAAACAATGTTTTTAGCACTAAGTTGGTTTAACATTATTTTCTTGTTGCATGAAACAATGTTTTTAGCACTAAGTTGGTTTAACATTATTTTCTTGTTTTTAGATTCATGTTATTTTCTTTGAAGTCGATCTTACTCAAAGTCTCAAACAGACATTCAAGATAATTGACTGGTTGCAACATGTACTATATATACATTGCAAGAGGAAATGGCCTCGAATCTGGGATAATCATGATGACGTACATGATCTGCTTGTGTGATAAATGATATCACCAAGTTTCTGAGTTGAAAGGA